CTAGTAATAAGAAGCTACTAGGAGCAAAGGGCATCGCTACTAGGAGCTGGCCTTACTACTAGTAACAAGAAGCTACTAGCTTAGCTCTTATTCATCACAACTGTCGACATGTTCGACACCATGAGTTTCACCCTTCTTCACGTCATCGTAGTTCTGCCGACGAAATCAGCTCTCCCCAAACGAAAGGCTCCGCCTACATCTCCGACACTTCAAGTGACAGTCTTGACATCGCGGCCGTTGATTGCGTCAACAAGAATCATCATTTTTTGTCCATGCTGGTCACGGAATGTTCACAACTCGCCAAATACATGTGTAATTCCCTAGTGGACATGAAGCTGAATATCTCACAGAAGTTCCACCTTTGGCTTCTCCTCTTCACCAAGCAGCTCAGTGCGACTGTATTCCATGCGACCAGGTTCGCCTGCGACGTCTCTCGCAGCGCACAAATGCCGGGCAAATCCACGAAGAAGCGCTGAGCAGCAATACTGGAGACCACTTGCATCGCGAGCGTTGGACACGGCCGGGCCGTTAAGCTGGAGAGTGGTAGTAGAAGCATTGTTAGTTAATTGCTCTTTCAGCGGCCCACTGTGGTGCCCCCACAGTTTGGGGGAAGAACCCCCGAATAGATTCATTGTGCTTCTTAGATTTGACTTGATTGCGTTGACAGGGCAAGCAAAAACATCTTTATCAATTCATTCACTTGTATGGTATAGGATGTGGGGGCTGCGGACCAAGGGGTGCCCATGTCAGTCATCCTAATACTGCGAACTCTCGATCGCGCCTTTTTGGCCAACAAAAGGTGGCCAAAACGACTGAGCCGGATGCTCCTGGATGGTCGTGCCAAGATATGGTGTTCAATTCCCGAAACGAGATGTTCGTTTGGCTTCCAAAGAATATACCGCCGTAACGGGGACTACTTTTTCAGATCGCTACTAGGGTGGAGTCCATCGCTCTTAGCTTGGAGGCCATCGCTATATCTCAATTGAAGAGGCCAAGCCCGAGCTGCGAAAGCGAGACCGACTGTGCATGGTTGGATGGATCTTCTTTCAGTTCCAAACACGTCAGTTCTTTACTTTAGGACCACACGGCTGCAACATCGGCTCGTGAACCTGGCGGTGCCCGTGAAAGATCACCGAACACGGGCCGTGCCGGGCCCGATTGAATCCTTTATAGGTCCTTTAGGAGGCTCAATTAAAATGGGTTTTTATATGGTTCAATATGGTTTAATAGGGAGAGCCCATAGCCCAATGGGTTTGGTCTATTTCTAGCTGTTCCTTCTTCCAGGGAGTCTCCAACCTGTCTGAGACCTTTTTTCTTTGACTCGCCAAGAAAGCGCTGTGGCCTCTGCAGTCTTGGCCTGCAACGAATCCAAACGAAGAGGGGGGACATCCCGATTCGGCCGTTGCACATCATCAGAGTCTAGAGTCTAGAACAATCAGCAAAAGTATGCTCAACCTCAATCTACCTCAACTAGTGAAACTTGAGGGTGAAAAGCCCAACGTTCGTAAACTCGAGGGAACTGTTAGGAAAACCTCAATCTACCTTGTTCTTCTTTTTGGTCCCTCCAGATCCTTTCAAGTTGCACCACGTCTTCAGCCAGGATCGAACTCCCAGCCGAAACACCGGTGTGGACTGACCGGTGTGGAAAAGGACAAGAAGCGAAGCGACGGAGCCGTGGCTGAAGACTAGACTGACGTTCTTCGTGGATCTCCAAGAGACCTCCTCAGAGAGTCTCAGAGTCAAGTGAGTCAAGCAGCGAACCGTGGGGGGTGGTAGGCGAAAGATGCAGCCCAGAATTGTCGCCCGTCAATCGTTTTTTTTGGCGTACCCGTTTCTGGCTGATGATCGTCGGGAGTTCTGAGGATTTCTGGGCGATTCTGAGACCAAACCTCAGGGTCCTCGCTTCCGTCATGCCATCATGGATTTCTACATGATCACGGTACTCAATCGTGGGAAAGAACCTGGTCCAAATGACCCGAATTGAACTTCATGTTGGATGCATTTGGGCATCTGGCTTTTGAGTTGGATGTGATTGAGTTCCTCTTGTTCTCCCCAAAAGCCGAAGCAAAGAGAGAAACCATCGGTCCCTCCGCGCCGAAGCGCCGGTCACGGTCATCTCCCGCCCCCAACGGTTCACTCGCTCCACCGGTGCAGCCCCAGTGGCAGAGATGCCCACTTCTGAGCAGACCTGCCGAGTGATCAATTCGATTCAATCCGAACGGCCTCCGCTGTGTAAGACCACTGGTTGACCTGGTGTTGTGTCAGATCCATACTGTGAGAGTCCAGTCCTGATTTTACCCCTACGGTAGTGGTGGATTATGACTACCAGGTGGAGTATTTCATGAGTCATTGGAAGTTCTGGGTTAGTCAAACACAATGGTTCTGTAAAGACCATTAAATCAATGGTTGATTGAATCCTAGGGAACCACCAGGGAATACATCCACGTGAAGTGTGGAACATCCACGGTGTTCTTTTTTATGGTTTTCACACGCGCAGGCCCGGTGCGCACCGGGTTGAGTTTTGTCCTCCAATTCCCTGCCTTCTGCGTGGATGCAACCTCGTGCCTGGCAAGTGCCGCAGGTAGACCCACTTCTGGTTCCGTGAGGGCTTAAAGCAACAGCGCGTCCTCTTTTGATCGACCAAGACAGATCTTGAACCCGTCAAGGGCATCACTCCTAGTTTGGAGGCCATCGCTCGTAGGTTGGAGGCCATCCCTCTCAGGTTGGAGGCCAAGTAAAAAAACTGCGAAGGTCTCAGCTGACAGCAAACGTACAAGGAGCAGACTCGCAAAAACAAACCCAATGTACGAAGGAAAACGACGACGCAAACAATGGACAATGCTAGGTTTTGGGCTCTAATTTGGAATCAATTTATTGATTGATTTGATTGTTGTTAAATTGCGCTCAGAGAAAAGACACATCAACATGCAGTGACACGAAAAGACCAGGAAGGCAAACACAACATGCCAAAACCTCCCAAAAAAAAACCTGTCGACAGAAATTTGCCACCCCCAAACGACCTACTGACCCGGGACGCGAAAAAACACGGGGCATGGCCCATTCTGTCCGCCCGTTGGACTTTCGGTTTTGGCACCCGAACCCCACCAAACGAGAACGTAGAACCGTCCCATGTGAAGCACCATGTCAAAAAATGAAACACCAAAAAGACATCAAAAGGCACCAAAACACGTCACACCAAAATAGAAGCACAATGCCAAAGTGAATGCACCCTCCGTCTTGTGTCCTTTTTTCCATCACCTTCTTTGTGTGACACCACAGCCTATTCCGACCGCAACTATGTGCTCAGTGTTTTCAACTCATCACAGGCACCAAAACCCGAAACCCGGCCGAAGTCCGCCGTTCCCCGCGCCGTGTCGCCAGCCAGAGGAGTCCAGCCGCCAACCTGCAGCGGAACGCAGACATGTCTCGGCAGCTTTGGACTCGGTGAAGTCATGGGAAGCCCCACAATGCCGAAGCGGTCGCCAGGAGTAAAGCTGCAAGGGTGGTGAGGTCTGGTCGCTGCCTGGTTACAACACAAGCCTGTTCAAGAATTCGGGTCCTGGATTTTTACATCTTCTCTGGAAGTTCCTTGATGCAAAGGAAGTTCCTTCAAATGAGTGCTCCTTCGAATGAATACCTTGGACTCCCCAGTCCTCAGAGAGGTTGCTGCATGGTTGATCAATTCCATGTCTTCGGCATACCGCTAAATATGAAATGATGCGCTCTTGTGCGAACGAATTCCAACCAGAAAGTGCACGAAACAGATCAGCATCTCCAGTGTTCTAACCGAGGACTCAGGGATGTTACTGTTTGGGGATGAGTGTTTTATGCGCAAAATCATGCAACATCTCGTTGCTCCTTGACATCAACCAGTATTTTCCAGATTTTTCCAGTGCTCCGGTGCGAAATAGTGCATATGCTTCAATCATATTCATTCCACACTTGCACACTTGGCACTAGGTGGAGGCCATCGCTACTAGGGTGGACGCCATCGCTACTATAGGTGCAGGCCATCGCTACTAGGTGGAGACCGTCGGTACTAGGGTGGAGGCCATCGCTACTAGGTGGAGACCGTCGGTACTAGGGTGGAGGCCATCGAGGCCATTGCTACTAGGTGGAGGCCAT